TTATTGGTTAGCGATTAGCTGCTGTAGCTCCTGCACATAAACAGGATGTTTTCTATTGGCCTATTGTAAAGTGACTGTATTGTCCGTATATTTGTTACTGGACCAGCATTGATATGTAAATGAGCTGTGAATAGACGTGTGAATGATCCACATTTATGCATATAATTAATTACTGCGGCGCCCACGTTTTTACGGCTAAAGGCATTAGGTTTCTTTTCTGGCTAGGAGTTATGGGTCGGTCGCGATCGAAGCGGCTCTTAGAGCCGGCTCTTTGAAGTGAACGACGGGAGCATGTTTCTTATTGGGAGCCGTGTTTTCTCTTTTTCTCACTTTTTCTCTTCAAGCCGCTTGTAGACCCGTAGTTTGACAGCAGCAGCGGCTGAAAACGAAACGTTCAGAAATCTGCGTGTGCATAGGATTTTTTAAAAAGTGCATATTTGGCTGTAGTTCAACATAAAATGAATAAACCAGGACTGATCTTGGGCTCGAGTGAAGGAGAGACACTCAGTCCTGGTTCAGTTCTGGTTTAGTCCTGTTTTACACATGGTTTAAATCTGTTTTAGTCCTGGTTTAGTCCTTTTTCAGTCCTGGTTCAGTTCTGGTTTAGTCCTGCTTGCAACAAAACAATCTCAAGAGTCGCTTGGGAGCCGAAAGAGCCGGCTGCTTTAGTGAGCCGAGCTAAAAGAGCCGGTTCTCCAAAAAAAAAAACTGGAATACCCATCACTAGTAGCTAGAATGTGATGCAAAAATGCCATTAGGCCAATCTACTGTGTGTAAATATGACGTAAAGAGTCAGAATAACAATAAATGTTGCCTAAATAAACCCAATTTAGAATCCACTAGAGCCAAACCTAAGTTTTTTAAACAATTCAAGATTCACAGTGAATTTTTACATCACTAAATATATCGGCGATTATATCGGCTATCGGCAGCGCCAACTCCCATTATATCAGTTTCATATCGGCCACAACAAAATCCATATCGGTCGGGCTCTACTTTGCAACTACAACTATAGCTTAATGAGTAGAGCCCGACCGATATGGATTTTGTTGCGGCCGATATGAAACCGATATAATGGAAGTTGGAGCTGCCGATGTAATCGCCGATATATTTAGTGATGTAAAAATTCACTGTAAATCTTGAATTGTTTAAAAAAAACTTAGGTTTGGCTCTAGTTGATTTTAAATTGGGTTTATTTAAGCAACATTTATTGTTATTCTGACTCTTTACGTCATATTTACAGACAGTACGTCGGCCTAATGGCATTTTTTGCATCACATTCTAGCTACTAGTGATGGGTATTCCAGTTCTTTTTAGAGAACCGGCTCTTTTTCTCGGTTCACTAAAAGCGGCTGGTTCTTTTGAGTCCTAAGCGGCTCTTCAGATTGTTTTGTTGCAACCAGGACTAAACCAGAACTGAATGTCGGAACTCGGTCTATCTCTCTCTCTCTCTCGAGCCCAAGATTAGTCCTAGTTTATTTATTTTATGCTGAACTACAGCCAAATATGCACGTTTTTTCTATCCTACGCACACGCAGATTTCTTAAAGTTTCGTTTTCAGCCGCTGCCGCTGTCAAACTACCACAAGTCTGCACGCATCATGAAGAGAAAAAAGTGAGAGAAAGAGAAAACACGGCTCCCAATCCCAATACGGATCAGGCTCCCGTTGTTCGCTTCAAACAGCCGGCTCTAAGAGCCGTTTCGTTCGCGACTGACCCATAACTACTAGCTAGCAAAAATGCTGCGCGCCGCGGTAATTAATTATATGCGCAAGTATCATCATTCACACGTCTATTCACAGCTCATTTACATATCAATGCAGGTTCAGTAACAAATATACAGCCAATATAGTCACTTTACAATAGGCCAATAGAAAACAGCTAGTTTATGTGTGAGAGCTACAGCAGCTAATCGCTAACCAATAACCAAACCTAGCTTCAAAGTCGACATATTTCCAACACTCACCGCTCATACAGGCTCCTCCTCACATCACAAATCTGCACTAATAAATGTCCTTTTAATCCAGACTCACACCGATTGTCCGTAAAAAGAATATAATCTCAGTGTTTGGATCTGTGTCTGCAGGTGTAAACAAACACACGTGAGTGACGCGACTCTGGGGATGTGTTCAGGGAAAGTACAGACACACACAGACAAATGGCTCCGTGGATAAATACTGATGCGGAGACACATATTAGGACATTTATCTGACTGTAAATTGGATTAAATGAACATAATGTAGAGAGTCTAAGATTTATAACGAAGTATAACATGACCATGGGAAATATCGGCCCATATCAGCAAACATATCAGCCGATAGCCGATATGCCTCCAGGTGTCCATATCGGCCGATAATATCGGCCAACCAATATATCGGTCAAGCTCTATTAATGAGATCTATAGAGGAAAACAAAATAGCAAGAGCCTGTTCTATGGACTGGCACATGGAAGAGGAGGCAAGCCACACTGTCTCTTCTTAGACTTAGAGGTGGTAAATTATCACTTTGGCATTAACAGGCTATCTGATAGTTAGCTGGTCCCAAGGCCATGGTCCACTGCTGGTAGCTGTGATAAACCCCCCAGTCATGTAAAATATTTGGACTTGAGTGTTGCTCATGACACATACAGGCAGAGGCTGAATCCACTGTAAGTGCAATACAATGGCCCAGGAACACAACAGAAGCAGGAGAACACAGCTGCAGACACAGGCCTACTGTGTAGAATAACAAGGGAGTGTCTGCTGTCTCCAGCCAAGCCACTGTGCCAGCCTCTCACCACAGACCCCAGCAATTTGGGAACTCTGCAAACACTACACGTCCTGGGACTTGAACAACACCCCTCTGGATTGTATGAAGGTTTACAGAGAAGAAAGCAATGCTGGGAATGAGAACAGAAAGACAATGTCATGAAACATGATAGGAAACCACCTCACACATACATGTGCCACTGATACAGCATCCACCCCAAAAACATAACCCTGATACCACCAGTTAGCTGTACAATCATGCCCAATACTCAACCCCCAAGCCTACGTCACCAACAAGACAGCTTGCCATAAATATACAAAAGCAGGATATAAAACAATACAGTACAACTTCATAAACGTGATGTGATGTGCAATATTTTTATGCAAGCTGGAATGCAAGCTGATTGTAATGTGATATCACTCTGAAGGGGGAGTGAGTTAGTGAGGAGAGCAAATGGAGGGGGGACTCATATCATCAAAAACTAAACTGAAACTTATTAAACATGTTAATGCATTGTTTTCGGTGAACATAGCATTATCTATACAAAAAAAGGTAACATGGTCATCTAAATATGAATACACATAGCAATGAATATAGAAGTGTAACACCTCCTCTTTAATATGTAATACCTCCTCAGACCGTGTCACACTGACATGGTCTGTTCCCATTAAACATAGAACCTCAGGTCACCCCTTAAAAAAAAAAAAAATCCCTAAATAAACGCTTGGTCCATAACTCGTTATTGTCCTCTATCTCCTCTGATGCAGAAAATTCTCATTTCATAATTTTTCATCCTGCAGACGAAAACAATTATTAACCCTGATCTACAAAAATCTGATTAACAGTTTCCAAGCCCACATAGTCAAAAGTGCTGGACGGATGAGAAATGGAAGCGTACACTGGAGATTATATCTTTTGAGTCCCTCTATTAGGAGAATTAGGTTCCATCCGAAATACCCTGTCATCTGTGCATGCGCTGAGTGTTCTGATTAATAGCTGAATTTGTGTTGGCCTGTCCTCTTTTTGTTCAGAAGTGCTTTTGGAATCTCTTGGGGAAAGGAAGAGCTGACGTATAACTATGTTGTGTAATGAATAGTACCTGGAAAGACTACATCTACGGCAAGTGAAGAGTGCAATAAGATTCTGTACAAAGCCAGAGGTTATTTTGACATTATTTAAGTTTAGTCAAGCAATATGCCAAAAATGAACCTTTTTAAAACCAATTTAGTCGGCTTCTGATGATTTTGAAGCACGATATATTGCTACAACTATGATAAAAAGCAATACTGAAAATACCTTATGCCAGACACACAAGGCAAGAAAATGCCAGCAAACCAATTTCTAAATAGAGACCAATAATTAGCCATAGGAGTTATTTATTCTCTACATCTTAAATCTTACGTTAAATAACATACAAATGGCAAAAATCTCCCCACTACTGCAAAGAAAAAGTAACCACAATAAAATATATTGTTCATACTGAATGATAAGTATATAGTAATGATTGTGGCAGGTATATTTTATATCAGAATATTTTGTATATTCTGTATTGCTGTATTCTGTCACTTACTTACTTACACTTACATCCCTGCACAGTCAAAATGCCATCGCACACGGCTCAGCATGTGCATAACTGCTGAGAGCACTGCAGCAGGCACACACTGAACACATACGTTACACTTGTGGCCCTAAACAGTGTCAGCGTGGAGCCTCCAGCCCACACTGACCTGGTATCGGAGCGCAGACTCACTGGAGTATTTCAAATCTTACAGAAGAGTGAAGAGTGAGCACATGTGGAAAAACGTGCAGCAGAATGACACGGACTGCGGCCTAGTTTCAGTATATAGACACAAGACAAGTCCAAAGCAGCTTCCACCATGCTACTGTTAAACTAGCAATAGCAACTCCATGTTACCATTACCATAGATTGTATGGCATTCCAAATAGGAAATGAGCATGGGCATGCTTCTGGCTCCATCAGCTCCAATTCACTTTCTATTGAAAAAAACGTCACCCCTCTTTAAAGCAACACATGGCAGGGAGCATTGTGAGGGCCACGTTAGAGCTTTCACATGCAAACAAATCTTTATGCTAGCCAATGCTCTTGTGTGGGTTCAACAAAGCCTGAAGCATGGACAGAGCTGCATTTAAATACAGCAGTGTCTCCTAGAAGCCATGTCCTTCTATTTTGTCCCATCTCCTAACCGTGCATAAACACTGCAATAGTATGCATGTGGGAGTGCGGGTGTGTACCTGGTTGGAGCCTCCCGTCCAGTAAAGGAAAAATCCATCAGGGTCCACTTTGAGCGTCACCAGGGTGGAGGGGCCACTGTTGGGTTCCTGTGGGGGACAGAGAGACATGAGGACATGATAATGGGCTGTGGGCATGTTGTATGAGCCCAGGACTTTCAGACAGTTTAAACTGAAGCACAAGTGTGGAGACGGAGCAGAGAGCTGCTTATGAGGATCTGAGTGAGACTATGTTCACAACAACTTGACTGCAACAACCTCAATGGAGCATTGTGATCAACTGTTTTGGAGGAATATTAAGGCTAGGTAAGAAAACATATTTTAAAATGTTGAAAAAAGGGCTTATTGAAAATAGATATTTCCTACACTTACAAAATAAATTAGGGATTGGTGGTCTATCTGTTCCAGTATCAGCATCAGCCAATTTCGATATAAGTCTCCAGTATAGGCATGGGCCGCCGATGTCAATATTTGACACAGATTTTTTCATGTTTTATTGTCTGATAATCAGAAAGTGCACTTTGGCATGCTAGTCGTTAGCATTACCATGACAGAAAACTGCTCTGGTCTCAGAGTAGTGAAAAGCACTTATAAACTCATCATGATGAATAATTAGGACGTTCTGAATGCATAATTTATTTGACCACCAACGATGTTACAAAAATCTTGACATCACAATAGAGATAACACTTGATTAGTTTACTCTAATAACATCCTCATTAGTGATCACCCTTAACTTCTCCATTTATATGGCTGTTTTTTTATTTTCATTTAAAGTCTGGAGTGATCCAAACAGCAGCTGGCTCCTTGCTCTCATGGCAGCATGCTTTACTGAACACTCCACCTCCTCCTATTCTACAGACGTCACAGCTGTTAACAGACAGGAAGCAAAACAGCAATTTCACTTTTCTCTAAGTGCAGTAACATGGCAATTAAATGCAAAAATGAATTTCAAGAATAATTAAAATTACTTGAATTTAGGATACTTATCTTAATTTGAGTAATATTGTCTAGTAGTCTGTCCAGATTGCCAATAGTGTAACGCGGCTACTACTGAACATTTGGTATCAAAACATAGTTCCTTTTTCAACAGCATTACTTTTCTGTGTACGCAGGCACAGCGGGCACCAATCCCACGGCCCTGGGAAGCAGCGAGGTCCGGGCGGGAGGAGCTGTAAAGCAGATAGTGTTGTGCCATCTTCACCTCGAGTCTTTCCCGGCCAACCCAAGTGCCGGCCGAGACGCTCCGCCTCACAGGAAGAGGGAGAGATCCTTCGAGGGTATCCTCGCGCACTGGCCGTTCCTTACCTGTCGAGTTGAATCCCCCGGGCAGACTGCAGTTCCCCACCCGTTTACCTCTGAACGGTTTCATGTCCTCTGAACTCTCTTCAAAATTCTTTTCAACTTTCTTGTGGACTATCAGTCTCATGCCAGTATTTAGCCCAATAGAGTTTACCACCAAACTAAAACTTTACTTAGTTTCCATAGAGGGAAACTAGTACGGCATTACTTTTTAAAGAAGTAATGAGCAAACACTACTTTTTTAAAGTTACTTCCCCAACACTGATTGCATATTACCCCTTCTTTTAATAATTCAATTAAACATATTCAAAACATCTCAAATCCAGATTCACATTTTCAAAGCCTGGTATTCAGTGCCCAGGAACTTTTTAAGAATCAAAGTAAAGGTGCAAGATACTAGTATATTAATTAGGGCCCAACCGATATAGATTTTGATGCGGCCGATATGATACCGATAAATTGGAAATTTGAGCTGCCGATAGCCGATATAATCACTGATATATTTAGTGATGTAAAAATTCACTGTAAATCTTGAATTGTTTAAAAAACTTAGGTTTGGCTCTAGTGGATTTTAAATTGGGTTTATTTAGGCAACATTTATTGTTATTCTGCCTCTTTACATCATATTTACAGACAGTAGGTCAGCCTAATGGCATTTTTGCATCACATTCTAGCTACTAGTGATGGGTATTCCAGTTCATTTTAGAGAACCGGCTCTTTTAGCTCGGCTCACTTAAAGCAGCCGGCACTTTCAGCTCCCAACCGGCTCTTCAGATTATTTTGTTGCAAGCAGGACTAAACCAGAAATGAGTGTCGGGACTTAGTTTCTATCTCTCTCTCTCTTTCAAGCCCAAGATTAGTCCTAGTTTATTTATTTTATGCTGAACTACAGCCAAATATGCACATTTTTCTATCCTATGCACAGGCAGATTTCTGAAAGTTTAATTTTGAGCCGCTGCTGCTGACAAACTTCCACGAGTCTGCACGCGACGTGAAGAGAAAAAAAGGAGAGAAAGAGAAAACACGGCTCCCAATAAGGAGCAGGCTCCCGTCATTCACTTCAAAGAGCCGGCTCTAAGAGCCGCTTCATTCGTGACCGATTCAACACTACTAGCTTGTAAAGAAAGTAAACTACCGCTATTAGCCTTTAGCCGTAAATGCGTGCGCGCCACAGTAATTCATTATATGCGCAAATGTCAATCACACGTCTATTCACAGCTCATTTACATATCAATGCAGGTTCAGAAACAAATATACGGCCAATATAGTCACTTTACAATAGACCAATAGAAAACAGCCTGTTTATGTGTGGGAGCTACAGCAGCTAATCGCTAACCAATGAGAAAAAAACAAAACTAGCTTCAAAGTCGACATTCCAATACTCAGTGCTCACACAGGCTCCTCCTCACATCACAATGCGATATCTTATGCCTGAAAACGTAATTTTCAATGCAAAGAAAGAGCCCGCTTGCTTCTGCGTGTTGTAGCTAGTTCATTCGCACGGAATCTCCGCGCACCCCTCTCTGCACCGCTCCCCTCTCCTCTCCCTGCTCCCCGTTCCGCTCTTCTCCCTGCTCCTCACTTCTTCTCCGCGCACCGCTCCCCTCTCTTCTCTCCGATCCCCGCTCTTACCCCTGCTCCTCACTTCTTCTCCGTGCACGAAATGTCCATGCACCCCCTCCCTCCGCTCCTCACTTCTCCGCCTTGCCTAACCAACACTGTAGTTAGTTGTTTACAAGTCATTTGCAGCGATGAGTACTTGTTTTCTAGAAACAAACCTGTTTCTGGGGGGGTTGCATGCGCAACATTTGAAAAACGACAGTCGCTGGATTTCTCATTCCTTGGAAAATCCTTTATACAACTTTTAATCCAGACTCAAACCGATTGTTCGTAAAAAGAAAATAATCTCAGTGTTGCACGTGGATTTATGTCTGCGGGTGTAAACAAACACACGTGAGTGACGTGAGTGACGTGAGTGACGTGAGTGACGTGAGTGACGTGAGTGACGTGAGTGACGTGAGTGACATGAGTTCAGGGACAGTACGGACACACACACAGACAAATGACTCCGCAGATAAATACTGACGTAGAACCACATATTAGGACATTTATTTGTCTGTAAATTGGATTAAATGAACATAATGTAGAGAGTCTAAGCTTTATAACGACGTATCACATGCCGTGATAATATCTGCAAGATTTTCGGCAATATCATATCGGCCTACCTATATATTGGTCGGGCCGTAATATTAATATGGTCAATATGGCATTGGTGTTTGGGGGATTTAAGAAATTTTGTACCAAGACATAAAGGAAAATTTCATTGCAATTTTGATGGACAGTCATTTGGCCTAGTCCAATTTAAACCCAACTATCAATATGCATGTAAACCCAGGAACTATGATTGAAGAGTCATGACTTAAATCTCAAATTAAACAAATCTCCTAACACATATGGTGATTTGATTGATTTGACTGGGATATTGGCTGCATGTAACAGCACAGTGCCATTTACATTAGGCACTAATAAGGAAAGACATTCAACTGCAGACTGGGACAAGAGCATTATGTTTTTCAAGACAATTTGAATTTGATTGTTCAGCACACTCCGAGTTACCTGTGCAAGTAAACGTACTGAGTATCACCCAACCCATGTCATAGTAATAGTATAAAGCCTCTGCTTTGTAGCATAAATCTGCAATAAAACAATGGATTTAGGCATAGAAGCATACAATTTATTACAAAATAAAGCCTACAACATTATGAGAAGTGACTTATGTAAATAATGCTATAGTAAAAACAAACAAAAACAAGCAGATATATTAATAGTGAAAATCACACAAGTTTAAATTTAAATCAACACAAAAGAAAAGAATACACGCAGTCAAGTGCAGCAGCAGAATGTGAGAGGACAAGAAGTGAAGATAGAACGTTCTAGCAGTTCTGCAAACCAGAACTGCTAGAACGTTCTGGTTTGCATTCGACACAGTGTAATGACAGTTCTGAAGAAAGTTCAGTTCTGAAGAGTCCTCCACAGTGTATGCCTCACAGTGTGATGAAATGACACAGGATGCTCTAGCAGTTCTAGAGAGCGTTCACCACAGTGTAATAAACACTGACAATGTCCACAATGCAGATTGCGGAGAATGAGTGGAGGCTAAAAGTTCGTTCGATTCTGGAGTGCGTTCTCCACAGTGTAATGACAGATCACTTTAACATGTCATTAACATCAAGCTCCCACACAAGCACACTCACATATGACTCATACTTCACTGTCTAAGACATCACACACGTACGACTTTGAGCAGGGAATCACACAGCCAAGTGATACACGGACAAGTTTGCATTTTACACACACTATATAATACTGTGACAGGTTATCATAATGTCACCATAATTATGATAGCGGTTTGTTGTTACAGTGAGCTGTACCTAAAGCTATACAAAATTAAAATTGATTATACATGTATTGTTCACATCAAGATAACAGAACAGAAGTTTTACAGTTCATATTAGGGATGGGCATTCAATGAAATTTTATTAATCAATTTCGGGAGAATTAATGACCGATTTTCGATTAATCATTAAAGTTTTTTTATATAATAAGTATCATCATTATTATTAATGTTACTAATCTGCATAAATAAACTCAACTTTACAACATATAAACCATAACCACTCTAGAGTCACATCAGCCCGTTTGACATTAGAATGTGTTTAATGCAGCTTTGTGCAAGTCTCACAGAAACAAAACGCAAAACTGCATGGCTAATTTAAACTAACATAAAC